ATAGTGAATCACAGTCTCATGGCACTGTGTTTGTGGGAGGAGGTGAATGCCCGAAAGGTTGCGTCCTAGGTGGGACTTCAGAAGTCTGGAAATCACTTGCCTCCGTCCTCCGCTTTCTTCACCGTGGGTGCAGCTGCTGTCTCGGTGACTGCCATCTGGTAGGATTCACAGTAAGTGCTTAGCCCTCGTCACCATCGCCACATGTTTTATATTCTAATTTCTGCAAATGAGCTCGATGTCAATTACTTAAAGTCTGTTCTTTATTGGTGTGTTATAATTGACCAATTTAAAGTGTCTCGGGCCTAGTAGTTGAGCCTGAAGCAATAAATTGGACGTAAAAGCCTCTTTTTGTTACGTAAGTGCACGTATTTTTTTTTAACAAGTTGATTATCTAGTTCGATAGTCCGTGTATGAATGAGAATGAAACAGTAAAGCATCTAGGCTGTGGTGAATGTGGGGTCATGTTCTGTTGCTGCATAATCCCTTCTGTGGTGTGCTATAAGAATAGCTCGTTCAGATGTGTTGTGAGATGGTGGGGTTTTGCTTTTGTTGAAAAAAACAGTGAGCCGATAAAACACCTAGGATAGTGGTATCCCCTCAAACGTTGGTGGCTTATCTTTTATTTTTGACACTTATCGTAACGACTTCTATACAATTACTTTTTCATTTTTTCCTCATCTCTCCGTTGAATTGTAGTAGAGTTGCTATTATCAACTAGCGTATCTTAGTTTTTTTATGATTTTGTTCCTTTGTCAGAAATGAAGGTGAACGGACAATTATTGAGGGAATCAATATGAAAATTGATTGTCCTAGCAAATTAGCCGACGTTTCTTCATAAAAATGGAGATGGATATAAAGTTTATCAATGACACAGAGGAAATTCTGCGTTGGTATGTGCTGTAAGTACAGATACCTCTTAGCGTTGCGACACAGGATAGAAAAAACTTGTCCCCTATGAGCTTACCGAAATAAGTTGTGGCGGTGATGGCTCTTACTGCACCTGACAATTTATGCGTTATTGGTGACAGTTTAGCTACCATCACTGTTCCTTCAGTGACGAGGTGACTTATTTCGTCGGCGTGATATGAAGACTGCAGACGCTGGAGACGGCAGATCCTAGTAAGCTTCAGGGATGGCGGGACATGTTGCCCAAGTGGTTATGCTGTCCATTGATGCCGTGCAGAAGGGAATTGGATGAAATTTCAAGGCTCGTTAATTGTCCAGAATGCAGGCCTCCTCTTTCCTACTACAAGCATTTGCCGAGTTATTTTTACTTGACCTTAGTATTCGCTGCTTCCTTTTTTATCAAGTTAACCGAAAGTTGTTGAAGCTTCTTGCCAATTGAATGTTGCTTTGATGTCCTCAGATTCCCTTTTGCTAATGCTGTGCTACCTGGATAAGTCACTCTTCCACATTGGTGATTCTTATTTGCCAAGACTTTACAATATCGGGACTGATGCCTCAGCGTCGAATGGGTGGTATATATAGTCAAGATGGAATTCGTGTTTAGACAGTCCAATGGGGTTATTCAAAGAGCTTTTAATCTTCGGATTAATTGTCCGGAGTTCGCAGTTCCCGGCTGAATACTCTTCTGAGCTACAGTGGTTTCGGTCCTCGGTCGTGGTGATAATATTGTCTGTGTTCCTAAAAATCACCAAATGCAGTTTGTTTACGGCATGCGCGCCATCCCTCTTCGTTTGAATTGCTAATGCCCAACAATGTCTCCCAGCCCGTATTTTCTACACTTGATGTTACCAAATTGCAGGTGGACGTAAAATCCACCAGATGATTGAATGAGTTCGTACAGTTTTGGTGCACCGCTCTATTTCCGAAAGACAATGTTTTGTGTGTGTATGTGGTGTGTGATGAACTGTCGACGCAGTTATTCATGGTGAATTGTCGGCTCACAGAGTAACAAACGAGAACAATGACTGCGATCTGTCCTCGTGATGGATTTCCATACAAATGGAGGATGTTTTGGAAGAACTTTATAACACAGTAAGGCCTAGTCAATCAGTCTGAAGAAAGTGGTGTGCTTGAAAGTCCACGCAAGACCCCGTTTTTCATTACTGTTATATTTATTCGTGAGGGGTTGTCATAACGCGCTTGATGAATGTTCTGTCCCTCGACATTCTTCTTTATCTGTTTGACAATTTTTTTAAAGGTGTGAGTGATTAAAATCAGCTTTCTCGGTGCCTGACAATCGGCTGAGTAATGTGATAGAATAGGCGGTTCAATGGCCATCGTGAGGGAGGAGATGTGAAGCCTGGGTACTGTGTTCTGTTCATCTGAAGGCGAAACGTAGAGGCAGAAGTGGAATTCATACGAAGATCGCGTATTATTGAGAAGAGCTTGGACTGCGAATTACATTGTTAATTACGTCAACGAACAATGGGCCTTTGAAGAGCCTGTTCACGGTTCCTTCTTGTTCTTTGTTGTGAAGGTTACGTGAAATTACTTTAGTATTTAATAATTGCCGCGGTATTAGTGATCAGTTGTAGAATGGCAGTGGCGTAAATGATGGTGCCTAATAAACCTATCCGGTTGATTTAATGAGGTACCTTTGTAAGTGTGGAACGACAAAAGTCAGTAAGCGACTGATTTTTTCTAGCTGGCAGACGATTGACCATCGACTTCAGAATAAATGCCTCTAATTTCTGTCTCCACTTTTGTGACACTCATCTGAGGATGCTTAAGCACTAGCTCAGTGAAGACTACATATATGGAAGCTGCCCAGGAGTCAAGTTTGTCTATAATTGTCAGATGTCATTGCCAATTTCATTAAGCCATTTGAACATGAGGTAGTAAAAATGCGTTGTCATCAAGTATCAACCAAGAAAATACCCCATTCCCCCAAAGGTGAGTCGGTTATTTTGACCAACAACGGATGATGTTCTTCAAGGTACTCATTAGTGATCCAAATAATAGGAAGACAAATTCTCTAAAATTCAGCGATGGTTGTAGGAATGAAGTGTAGTTAGTTGAAGGCGATCTTGCTTTGCAGAAGTGCTCATTGGGCACATCTTTGTTGATAATTTTTTTTGTGGTTGCTTAAATGCACACTCCCTCTTCACTTCGTCAAAGTAATAGCCGAGGTGGGTGTTCCTTAGAACTAATTGAATCGTTTTAGTGCATGGGGTTGAAGCACGCAAGCAATTAATTTATGCGACATAATCTGACCTTCTCTCCAGTTCTGTTGCATCGCTACTGTCATTTCGTATGGTTTAACGCTGAAATGGGAACGTCATGCGATCGCGTTGTCGATGTAGGTGAACGGTTCTAATGCGGCCGCTTTCGAAGTAGACCGAAACTGTTGCCTTTGGAATGAATCTTCTGGAATACACTTTTGATGTTAAGGCCTGTCTGTCCTGTTGTTTCCTTAAAACCCTTTTTGGAAATAACCGTATTGCAGAATATGTCATGATAGATATGCCATTTTTGAAGGATCTTCATGGAGTTGTCCGTTATTAAATCATCTTTCCAATCCGAATGGATTTTTTGCCGCCTAACTGGTGTTTGAAACAGTCAATTTTATTTAGTGGGGAAGACATGTTTCCGGTTGGGTCCATTTTCACGGAATATGATGTGACAGAAACTATCCTTCCATTAAAAAAATTTAAAACCAAATCCCTTAGTCTGATCATTCATCCGTCCATTAATCCGTCTTTCTATTCATCCCGTTTTCATCCACCCACCAATTCATCCGTCTTTTTGTTGGCCTATTCTCTTATGTTAGACTTCTTCATTCCTGGAGGTATTTGAAGGCAAACAAATGTGGATGTAGGACTAAAATAGGCGTAAAGGTGCTGGAAGATTAGATGCATGAGATTCGCAGGTGTCTTTTGTACCTTACAGCATTCATCATCAGCAACAGCTGCAGCGGAGATGCAGACGTCTTTACCGACACTGAGCTTGTCGCCATAGGCTCACGAAATGGCAGTGGCGGACTGCGTGGCACGTTACAAGCATCTCGCATCCCTTGAGGCAGCACTGTAGGCTACGTACGTGCAGGTGCAGGGCGAGCTGAAGACAATCTACTGCAAGCGTGACGATTCCACTGATGCCATTGGGGCTGCCTCGGCGGCCGAGGAGGTTTGGTAGGCGGAGATAGAGCAGAATCTTAATTAAGTGTCGGCCAGCGTAGCGGAGTGGGAGCCAAGGTGACTGTTGCACGTACAGTGTGTCATCTTTTGTCTCTCTAGTTTTGTCCACCTTTTTCGCTCTCCTTTCTCTCTTCATTACACAAACTACTCAGCTAACCTGCAACCATCCATTCCGTGACCATCTAACCGTGGTTTCATTTCTGCTATATCTGCATTTGTTTTTGCATTACTTATTGCTTCAATCATCAATCCAGCAGTTCTTATTTAGTCTACTTGGTAAAATATTGATCATAGATCCCAGTTATTTCTTGATACCTGAGGTATTCACACTTTGTCTAAATGCACTTCTAAATACGGTTATCACGATTAAAAGCAGAAAACACGTATCAGAGGCCTGCTCTGTGTCGCATGATTTGTAAAAGAAAAGTAAGCGCACAATATCGTGCATAAATTGCACTCGCAATTTGACAATCAGCTGTCAGTCACAGGTTGGTGATTTTCAAATAGTTCTAGTGTTCTCACTCCGATCTTATTTCTCTTGTTGTGACTTCAGAGGATGCGAAAGTGGAAGGGTCACCCTCTTCCTGGACTGC